TGTTCGTACTTTTCATGCTCGTACTTTTCATGCTCGTACTTTTCATGTTCATACTTTTCAGTTGGCCAACATTTCTAAAAATACTTTTTTAAATTGGTCTTAAGTAATATTTTAATTTTCTGAAATATTAAATTTTGGTGGTTTTCATTAGTTGTCAGTTATAATCATCAACATTAAAACATTTGAAATATATCAGTCTGTGTGTAATGAATGAATATAATCTACAAGTTTCACTATTGGAATGGAGTTACTGAAATAACAACTTTTTCATGATATTCTAATTTGATGACCAGCACCTGTAAGTTGTATTTTATGATTGTCCACTGTCGTCATCACTCTTTGTTAAACCAGGTGTCTCTTGTAAACGAGTCCCTGAGGCTCAATGAGACTCACCTGTAGAAGTAAAGGTTGAATGTTTCTGCTCGGCGCCCTGAGGTGACTTGTGTTGTGACTAGTCACTATATAAACTGAACTGACATTTTTACATAAAAAGCTGAAGTTGTATATTCTATATTAGGTGAAGTTTTGAAAATAGAGCAAATATTTGTGCAGTAAGGTTAAAGAAAGCTGTGAAGTCTGTATTTGATGTTGAGTTAAAGGTTAATGCACTACGGTACGCTGAAGTCTTTGTTTACGTTTGTATTTATGATATTTATGCTGAATTATTTGTTCATAGAGTTTTTAATGCCCTCCTGTTTTAGGTATAAATATAAAATGATGCAAAAGGATTTGACACAGTGAGGAACCTAAAATGACCGTTTTAAATAATTGTTCTATTTGTTTACATTGTTTAATCTGTTCATCTTGTCAGTTACATCATTTAAACACACTTTATGACCATTTTAATAGAAAAGTCTTTTCTGGATTGAATTGTGACCCCAAAAATCATAATCTACACCAGACACTGAGATATTCGCACCCCTACTAATAAGTAACAGCATTTGGTGTTAGTACCTCGTGTCCTCTGTAACTGCCCCACGCTTGGATCCAGTACACACTCCAGTATTTAACCTGAACGCATCATGAACGTGTCGGACACTAAACTGAACTTAGACGTTTGTTTCACATGTTGCGCACGTAAAAATACTGCAACAGCTGCGACACAATACAAAACTGTGACTATAGCATTAAGCTCTTGTTCTCATCCAAGCCAGTTTCACCCAGAACAAGTTATACATTACGAGAATGGACAAGTTATGCATTCTGACACAATTTTTGGATAAAAATTCAAACAATAAAACATAAGAACAACCTGCGTGTCAGTTCCAATCCCCTTCTCCTCTGACTTGGTTCATTTTTACAAAATTCACCCCTCGTCTTGCTACAACCTAGTTATTTGTGCTGTAGCTGCATACATCAGTTACACAGCAACAAGTGAAGATGGGTGAGGTTGGTCCCGTGTCAGACTCTGTGCTGGGCTCATAAAGCATACCTGCTGCTGTCCCATGGCAGGAGACGGCCTCCTCATACTTTCTAGCAGCGACCAAACGCTCGGCCTTCCTGCACTGCTGATGGGTCTGAGGAAAGTTAGACAAGTTCAAAGGTTACGTCCGTTTATCGCATTCATGCTCAATAATCCAGGTAGAAAAATCCAACAAAGTTAAGTCGTGTCCTCTGGACAGTGTCTTTTTGTTGAAACGTTTCGTCCTTCATCCAAAACACTTCCTTCACTTACATCCACGTGTTTGTCTTAAAGCACCCCAGGGTCTTTGGGTCCACGTGAACAAGACAAGGAAAACTAAATTATCTTGGTAGTAAAAATGTGGAACTCAGCCATCTCAAAGTACTATGTTGGATACTTTGGTAAACTAAAAAGTACAACAGTGTGTTAATTGGAATGACCAGATTTATTCGGGTGCTTTACACTTGTTGATCAGCAGGGGCGCTGCTGAGCACAGCAAGCCTCCATTAAAGCAGCTCTGGAAGAAGCTTCATGTGTGCCACCACTGGCAGCTCCGACACCCGGTGAAGAGCACAACTACACAGCTACAGGACCGTGTCCATGTCGCTACCACTCCAGAGAGCAGCGCGGAGAACACAGGGACCTACCAGGTTCAGCGGGCTGTCCACGACTTCCATCGAGTCCGCTTTCCGACGGTCTGCTCGGCATGAACTGCGTCCAGTAGTTTGGCGGACTGTCATTCGCGCTAAGATAAAAAATAATGTACAAATCACACACGACAAGACAAGTGGCGTCAGCCTAGCACGGAGTCGGCTCTACTTTGTAGCCAAAGAGCTACACGAAAAAGTCGTGACGTAAGACCCGTTCCATCGTACGCGCATGCGTATTTCACAAAGGCTCGATGAAACCGGAAATCAAAAATGGTTTCCCTAAAAATAAAAGTTTTCACAACATTGTAAAAAATTATTCACCAAAATTCACGTTTAATAACAAATATAAACATTTAGTTAACTATAATACACTTTTATTACTATAAAATATATTAGACATGAGCTCTTAATTTTGATAAATAAACGTTATACTTTTGTTTATTGTGATAGTTTTGAACGGAAGTGACGTGTAGTGAGTTTCGTGTTTTTATGGCTCGTCGGTCTCAAGTAAACACGGAATTTCACAATATAACATCCGGACCGTTAAACATTAGCAGGGCTTCGTTTGTGGCGGGGCCTTTCGCCCAGAGAGCTCCGTTCTTGTCCTCGACCTTTAAAGCGGTTCGGTTTAGCTGAAGACATTTGAAGACGTAGCGCGAGACAGGCAGGCGCGTGAACACTGATGTTGGTGAAAAGAAAAGGCCAGGCGTGTTTGATAGCTTCCAGTATGGTTTTGTTAGTGCTGTTTATGACGGTCCTGTACAGCAGCAGCAGCACCCAGCACCCGAGCAGCCCGAACCTGAGCCGGGACTACCAGCTGCTGGGCAGACCCCTGTACAAGCTGGACCTGGGCTGGCCCAGGAAGCCCGAGCTCTTCACTGGGGACGTGTTCGCCGTGGCTGTCAACCAGCACACCGGTGTGGTGTATGTGGCGCAAAGAGGTAAACATGTACTTTCAAGGGGATATATTCTGTTTGGTTCGCATAGAAAGACCAGAACCGCGACCCACTGCACGGAGAGGGCTGCTTCGGCGGTTAACGCTTCGTGAGATGCGCATGCGCAAATGAGCAGGACGCGTCTGTGAAAACAAACCGGTGCAAGAAGGGAAGAGGAACTGGGTTTGTGTCCAGTAAACTGGTGTAAACTTAGCAGTTCTATGGAAGCTGTGTGGAAGCACGACTTGATGGCCATAGTCCCATCATGAACAACCATTACACAGTATCTGAAGGAGTGACTCAGTTATTCAGCCTGAAAAAGATGAGAACAAGGAGGACTCAGCTTCCAGTGTTGATCCACTGTGAAGTTCTCATTGCTGCTTATTTCTAGACAAAAGTTTTCTTTAAATTCTATAAGTTTTTATTTGTTTTTGTCCCTTCTTTGAAAATGTGCTCACATTCTGACCTTTTGTTTTCTTCTAGGCTATAATGTGCCAAAGGTGCTAGTGTTCTCCACAGATGGGGATTTCCTCATGTCTTGGAACACAACCACTCTGGAGATGCCTCACGGGATGTTTGCAGACGCAGCGTCGGACAGTCCCACCGTGTGGATCACAGACGTGGGGAACGGTCCTTATGGTCACTGCATCAAACAGTACACACCATCAGGGAAGCTGCTGCAGGTGATTGATTCTGATGGGCTTTCTTTTGATCTTTAAGGTTTTTGCTTATCTGCAGTGTTAGTAAAATATCTTATGAACCACGGGATGGATTTTAATGAAACTCTGATATTTGTTGGCACATCTAGAACTGATTAACTTTCAGTCAGTTCCATTCAAAATGGCCTCCACACCTATTTAACATTAGCCAAAACAAAAATGTCTGTAATCATCTGCCTTTCAGATCTTAGAGCTTAAATTTGTTGTGGTAGTAGCTGAGAGTCATTCTCAACACACTGATGGCTAACACATTTAGTGAGATCTCACAATACCACATGACACCACGTCATTCACAAGGTTGGCCCAGAACGGCTGTAACTCCGTCCCTTCTTAGATGGTTTCAGTGTAAAATGTATGTCTTCAAATCACTGAACAGTGCCCCCCCCCTCCCATCTCTCTGATCTTCTACAACCATATGTCCCACCACGTTCCCTGAGGTCAGCGGACCAGTTGCTCCTCACAGTTCCAGGAACTCATCTTAAGCGCAGAGGTGACAGGGCCTTCTCTGTAGCAGGACCAAGACTTTGGAATGAGTTACCTCTGTTTGTCAGACAGGCCCCCTCCCTCTCGGTTTTCAAGTCCTGTTTAAAAACTCACTACTATTCAGTAGCTTTCAACACCAGATGATCTGTGTTTTGATCCTGTACGCTCCACACTGGTTTGTCGTCATTATCTGTATCGTTTTATGTCTATATTCTGATTTACCTCATTTTGTACATTTCTTTGTGTGTTACCTGTTGTTCTGTCTGTACAGCACTTTGGTTGGCCTTGTTGCTGTTTTAAGTGCTCTATAAATAAAATGGTATGGTATGGTAAAACTCTGGGGGTGTGAGGTGGCGGGTGATATGCATTCCTTTAAGGCAGTGGTTCCCAACCCTGGTCCCTGAGGAACACCATGCTGCATGTTTTAGTTGTTCCTCTGCTTCAGCATACCTGATGTGAATGAAAGGGTAACTTACAGGCTTCTGCTGAACTCTAGGAAATAATTAAATCACTGAATCAGGTGTGTTGGAGCAGGGATACAACTAAAACATGCAAGATGGTGTTCCTCAAGGACCAGTGTTGGGAACCACTGCTTTAAGGAATGCTCAGACTTTTCGTTTAAAAAATGCTTGGCTTTGCACGCCTAGTTTCCAAGTACTTACTATGTTATTAACTGCAGGACTGAGCGGTTCTCTGTTGCTGCTTCTTAAATCATGTCTTGAATGTGTCAGGTGCTTGGTACCCCAGGGAAAGCCGGTTCTGGGTTGGACCCTCTGCAGTTTGACCAGCCAGCTGAGATCTTCGTCCACGACTCGGGGGAACTCTACATAGTGGACGGTGATGGTGGGATGAACAACCGCCTCATCAAGCTCTCCAAGGAGCACAGAGTGTTGTGGATGCATGCAGAGAAAGGACAAGGCCTGGCTCAGTTCTACATCCCCCACAGCGTGACGGTAGATGCTGCCCAGAGAGTGTGGGTGGCTGACAGGGGCAACAAACGGATCCAGGTCTTCAACTCCATCACAGGGGACTGGCTGGGCACGTGGGGGAGCTGCTTCACCGAGGATGCCCCCTACTCTGTTCGCCTCACCCCGGACAAGAAATACTTTGTTGTCGTTCAGCTCAACACCAATCAGATTTCTCTGCTGGATGCACCGCCGGTGGGCTTGATCGGCCAGTGCAACGTGGTCAGTGTGATCCAGCTGTCTGAGGACGTGAAGCCCCACCTGGTGGACCTGGATCTGACGGCTGGAGCTCTGTATGTGGCTGAGATTGGAGCGCAGCAGGCTCAGAAGTTCATCCCCTTTAGTCTGGGTGGAAGTTTGTATTAAGTCACTCGGGGGCTTAAGATTTAAATGTTGCTCAGTTACAGTGAATCTAGCAGTCTTCTCTCGTCCCCCACCTGCGGTCAGCAGTGTTTGGCCTGTATATATATTTATTTAAACTTGTTGGAGTCATCCCGGTCTGCCTGATGGCAGGAGCTCACGAACCACAGAATGAATTGTAATGACATTTTTATGAAGTAATCATTTTGTGTACATCCACAACTAATTACTTGTTGAAGTCAATCAATGTAACACAACCAGTCAACGAAACAAAATGACTCTAACTTGGTCATTTTATCAGATATTGAGCTAAAATTTGATGAGGTAGTAGCCCCTCCCCTAGCACTTTGAGATTTTTGTTAATGAAAAGTGCGTTACAAATTAAATTCATTATTATTATTATTAGCCAAGACCGAGACATTCTCCACACAGTCTCTGAGCTAGACATCTGTGGGTTCAGATAATATTTTATAATTTTTAAAGTTTGACCAAAACGGCTACTTTTTGAGGGATGAAGATGATTTTACTGTGAAGGACTTTGTCTAGTATATTTGTAGAGTTCGTCCATTCTTCCTTTCTGGGTCACTGGTGTTCGAGTCCAGCAATCAATGTGTGAGAGGTGGGGGACACCCTGGACAGGTCTCCAGTCCATCATGAGACAAACGACCATTCACTCTCTCACTCACACCTAGAGACAATGTAGAGTTTACTATTCAGTCAACAGGCAGATATAAGCTCGTGCTCGACATAAAAAGTAAAAAACATTTGGACAGCACTCCATTTTGGTCCAAGACTTCCTCAGATTATCTGTTCGCTGTCAATCTTAAAAAAGACAAAAAACTGGTTCTCAGTCTGAAGGTCAAAGAGCACCAGAACCCACTGGTCTGGATACAGCTTTTACTGGTGACTCCAGACAGACTTGTTGTGTGTCAGAGTTTGACCTGGCATGGTGACCTGCCCCTCTTTGACAGATCAAATAAGCTCTAGCGCCCCCTCCCCCAGCAAAATGTTCAAGTGCTTTATTACAGATACAGGTACTGAGCCAGCAACGTCAATAAAAATAATGTGCACACCATAAAAAATTAATATATAACAAAAAAATAGTCTTCTCAATCATGAGTGTACTTCATTTATATCAACGTTCAACAGAATCAAAGTATAATTAAATATTTAAACGAGCTACAGTGTTTTTTCTCTAATCTGTAGTAATACAAAATGAAGCCGGCTTGTACCTGCTACTTCCAGCCAGGGCTTAATTTGTAAACCAAACGATGCTGGAACACAAGGGGCGGGGCTCTGGGGGTCCTCCCCCAGAAACATTTGAATAAAGTAAATGACATTTCCTGCATTGTGATATATTTTCACGGGTTGTTAAACATCTACACTTACGTAACCCCCCCGGCTCCTCCCTCGGCTGTTCCTGGTGGCTGCCTGTGGGCTCCTGCCGCAGTACGACAGCCTGGTTAGCTCCACTCACTCACACCTGCTCCAGTGTCTCCATTACCACTGTCTTCATGTGCTCCAGTTCTTGGTGGTTTAATTGTACGAGGAATGTTTTTGTTTTAAATGAAAGTAAATTGTGGACAGTCTTCGACATTTTGATCCTTGTTATTTTGACAAATTGGCGCCGTTGTTTATTTAGAGATGTAGTAATGTGATTACCCATCAAACAATTCTCTCGTTTTTTTTTTTAATAAATCAACATTTTATTAATGACCCACTTAAACTGTAAAACTGATGTGCAATTTATTTGTGCTGTTTTATTATATTTTTGTGTTTCTAATTAAATTGCCCATGACTATTTTTAGGGGCGGAGATTTTTTTAAGGGTAGAAAAAGAGGAAATGCTTACTTGAAGGAGCAGCTTGTATTTGATATTAAGAAGCTCATAAGTGGCTGTTGTGTTTAAAATGAGTGTTTATGTAATTATTTTCAGATTACATATCCAATATAGGTTTTATTTGTTCAAGGCAGTTGTGTTTGTTCATAACTTTATTATTAGGCCTGAGAGTTACCGGATCTACTGGACCGCACCCCGTCAACATAAGACAATTCCTGGATCCTGTTCCGGCAGGATCCGGCTCAAATTAAGTCCTGGTTGTAGCATATTTACAGAGTACTTACTAAGTATTTACCTGGTATGGATGTTGTACTTAGCAGGTATGTATTTTGTACTTAGAAGTTATGTGCTGGATATGTACCAAGTATTTACTGGGTATGTACTTGCAGTATACTTGACCTAGTAATTGCAGTGTATGTACCAGGTACTTACAGGTATATACTTAGTATGATGGGGTGTTTTATAGATCACTGCCTTACCTTTCAGAAAGAGACAGTTCCACAGGTTTATATATGAACATTATGTTAATTTTGCAGCACCTGGTGGCGTTTGTGTTGAAAATTTATTGTTTTATTGCCGTTTTAATTTTTTTTGCCTTCCTACTGAACACACCAGAGCCTTGATGCGTCCGAGGTGTTTCTACTTTAGACACTGTAACGCGTCAGTGCTTGTTCCAAACACAAGTTTATTAAAAACAGAAGTATAACTTGTTATGTACTGTGTGTGCTCTGAGGGGGAACTGAACTGGTCACGTTCAGTTTATGAGCTGCATTTTGACTTCACCGGGACCGACCTCCTTCACTTCCATTATGTCACTGTTGCTGTGATCACTTTGCTGCATAAATCATTTTTTATTTGCTGATTAGAATGAAGTATTATTTTTCATATATAATGGTTTGCTGCTGTTTAATGAAAATAATTGTAACTGAAGTTAAACTTAATTCATCTGACTGTAGGGCGTATTCTTTTTATTGAAACAGCTTTAATTGTGAAGTGATCAGGGGATTAGAGGACAACTGGGTTGTCCTAAAATGAACATGTAAATTATTTATTTCTGTTTCAGTTGTAAGATTTATGTATGAAGACGTTGTAAATAATTCATCATGTGCTGATTGAATAACTATTAAAATAAGACTGGTGATCAACAACAAATGCATGAATCACTGACATGTATCATTAAAGCAAAGGGATCCAGCAGCTTGGGGGACCTTCAGCAGCAAGAACTCTCAGTACTGGGATTCTGTAGGACTTTATCTGTCCCTCACATGGTGGTGGAGGTTGGGCTTCTTCTTCTTCATTTCATTAAAGAGATCTCTGACTTCTTGCACACCACTTCATTTTCATGCCTATGACTGTCAAATTTACTTTTGCCTGGTTGACATCAGGGACTGGATGGTTTTAAATTTCTTAAATTTTAATGAGAAGAAGTCGTGATGTTTCCACCTAATCAAGAACCACTGCATCAACCTTACCAGCCCCATTAGAGAAACCAGCTGTCACCAGGGTTTAGTTTGTAAACCGATCGATGCCAGAATGCAAGTAGCAGGTGGTGGGAGACAGAAGGACTCCAGCTAAAATAACATCATTGCTGGACAACGTCTCTCACCCCATGCATGAAGCTGTTGCTGAACTGGAGAGCTCGTTCAGTGACAGATTCCTGCATCCTAAATGCACAAAGGAGCGTTACCACAGGTCCATCCTCCCAGCAGCTGTTAGACTCTACAACCATCACTGCTTCCAACAAACTATAAGGATTAAATACATGCTGACCTCTGCTGAAACACACACTCTGCCTGTAATACTGTACTGTCAATAGTCTGTCCTTATCAATGTTCCAATACATATTGAACATTATTATTGATATTGTTTATCTTATTTTATCTTATTTCTTATATATTGTATTGTTTATTAACATTTAGGAACTTTTGTGTGAAATCTTTTTATCTTTTTATCTGTTGCTGCTGTTACACTTGAATTTCCCGTCCATGGGACAATAAAGACTGTTTCTATTCTAACTATGAAAACGTTGGTTACGTACTGTAACCCCAGATTCTATGAGTATAGGCGTAGCCCTTTAAGGCTGTCGCTGGTGGGTTTATCCCGTCATGCAAAGCATCGCACTGAAAAATTTAGTCCACACCCACCTGATGTGTGGGCCCCACCCGATCCGTATAAATTACGTTAAGAGCGGGAAATCGGCTCCAAAAATAGCTTTTTCTTCAGCCATTTAAGAGTCAGTGAGGCCCGACGCCTAAAGGGCTACGCCTATACTCATAGAATCTGGGGTTACAGTACGTAACTAACGTTCTATTTCGTATAAGTGTCGCCCTTTAAGAGCTGTCGCTTAGTGGGTTAAGGGTGAAGCAGATGTGGTCCTCGTCTCACTGGGTCCATTCGAACACCATATGAAGGGCAGCTTGCCCAAAAACGTCTTGTCACTCAGCTCCCCATGTGCGTAAATACGCGTTGCGTAATTACGCGCACCATGCACTGACGTGCACTGCGTAGTTTATGCGTTCCGAGTGCATGAACACCTGTTGGATTTAATATTTTATACCTTTTTATAATTCCTATCAAGCACTCAAATGTCAGGGCATATAAAGTGTGTGTGTGTCTTTCTTCCAAGGTTGAACTATGTTTATAGAAAGTGTTTGCTAAGTCTAACTAGTTGACCTTTAAATATAATCTCATAGTAGCTAAAGATAATTTTACAAGTTCACATTTGATAAATTACAAGCAATCAAATCAGGACAGAGAGCAGACTGATTAACATAAATAAAGCTAGAACAGTATAGTTTGACTAAGTAAAATCAAATTAAGAGTATAACCAAGTTAGATAATATAATTATTCCTAGAAATAAACAACTATTTCAAATCAGTGTTATCACTAAGGTATAATCATGTTAAACAAACAGTGTTAACGGTTTTAAACGCAGACACACAAACTAAGATGATTCTGCCTTAAAACAGAATCACCAGACCTCCAACAGATAGTGAATTAACACCCAGGAGATAGGTAATAATTAATAGTTATTAATTATTACGCATAAACAATTTAGACACGAATCATTTTATATCCCTAAATTATAATAGCAAGTTAAACTTTAAACAAAAGCCGAACCAAAACTTATCTGAAATATAGACGTAACGTCCTTGAGGGGGCGGGCTACGTCGTAACCATAGCTACAGAAGCTGAACCAATCAGGAAGCTAGCCTTCTCAGACGGGGATAAAAGGCCGGGAATGACGCACGCGCACTGAGCATTTTCAGAGAGGCACGCTGGAGGCGGTTTGGTCTTAATGCTCCATTTATATGCATATATCTTATTAATGTAACTGTTTGTCTCTGAATATCTGTAACCCATGTTGTGTCAAATAAATCTTTTATACGAAGGGCGACGCCTCCGCCGTTTTGAACACGACGTGGTATTCTATCCACAACACACCCCTGAAAGGTTTTCAACGGGAAAGAGGAGAAGCTGAAAAAGGCCGTGAACAGAGCAGATCCACG